CCAAGCAAACTTCTACCCACCGAGATCCCGTTCCTATAAGGAAAGTTAGCCTTCGGATTTGGGGAAAGCTCAGAGACATGATTCTGTGGGTCACCCCCTCACATTTAAGATTCATTTTACGTAAGAGGGGGTGCTGCGATGCTGTAGTGAAGTGCTCAGATACTGTTGTGACGTGCTGTAGACAAATGTAAAGAGACAGACCTCTGCTGCCTTGTGCAAGAGAAGTGGAATCCTGGTGCTTGTCCTAAGGTCCCTGAACATGAAAAACAAACGTATCCACAGGATAATTCTCCAAACAAGCTGGAGGAATGGAGGCTGCGAGGATCTCAGCCAATGGAGGGTTTCGTGTGAATTCTAGTCAATGTTAGCAATCGTGTGGAAGTGTTAACTGCTTGGCACAGTACCCCTGAGAGGCAGGTAAGTATTGTTCCCATTTTAAAGATGGGGAAACATAGGTAGAAAGGTTAAATAAATAGACTAAAGCCACAAAGGGAGTCAGGATTAGAGTGCAGGAGTCCATTCCTATGTTACTCACTTAGTCCACTAGCCCACACTGATTCTCACAACTGTAAGCTGTACCCTGAGGCCATATTAGCTGCTCAGGAGAGAGGCTAGTTCACCTGCAAGCAACCAGTGGATAGGGAGCCTGAGGCAGCCCTAGTGCCATCAGCTCAGCTTGGACAGTACCACCCTTCCCAACTGTGAATTGATCCGCACTCTTCCCAGAAAGAGACTCATGCTGGTGCCAAAGGCTAGCCCTGGATGGCTCTCAGTGGGTCTGTGGTCTTAAAAGAAAAAATAGTGACACAATATCAGCAGTAGCGACTGATGCCCTCAAGGCTGACGTTTCAAAGAAAAGAGCTAGAGGCTTTTTTTAAAAAACTGAAAGATGAGATTATCCTCTATATTTATAGGTCCCCAAAATCAAGAGGGAAGCTATGACGATAGGCTTCCTGTATCCCACAGGCTGGATTTTGGCAGGAGAAACTATACAATTCCCTATCACTCATCAATTCGCCTGGTGTGATTTACAAAAGCCCCCAAAGGGTAAGACGATAACATTTTCCAAAGACAAACTTGGGTTGAGCAGTAAGCTAGACCTTCACAGGGGATTGACATTTATGCACGCCACTGAGCTGCATGATCATAAACATAATTACCTTTGTAATTTAACTGCTCATATCAGACCAAAAAATCGTGACTATTTCAACATTAAAACATTCCTGCCAGCCCAGTGATGCACGAATAGCAATCATCTTAAAGAATTACACTTCCCATGTGTCATTGCCAGGACAGCACTTGGAGTGGCGGAGAAGGTGACACGGAATTCATTTCTATACACAGGGCACTGCTTCAGTCACGCACTGCCCATTTCAGGCAATTTTAATTTAAAACACTAAAGATAATGCAACTTAGTGCACTTTTAGAGCTGGGTTTTAACCCTTGCATTACTACTATGATTTGTATACATCTTTATTAAAGTTGGATGCATTGCACACTTGTGCAGCATGCCATGCTACCATACAGCTGCCACAGCCAAGGGTTGGGCCTAAAGTGCAATAGTTTTCATGATGGGACATAGCCTTGAGCTTTCCAGCATGGTGGATACCAGACATGCCACAGAACTGACATATCAGCTGTCAAGTAGAGAGATGGTAGCCTGATGTAGGAAGATATTGCAGCTATGCACACCTGACACACACAGACATATAATGCAGTGTAAATCTGGAGCAAATCCACCCCTGGTGTAATGCCATGTGGTTAGGAACGTGATAGGTCTCAACCATGCTTTTTTCACCTGATTGTGCACTGGTGGCATCTCAGGCTTGCTAAAGGGAGGGACAGGACAAGCAGTCAGGGTAATTGGCTGCTCCTCCGGTGTGATTGCTCAGGAAAGAACAGCAGGACTCACATCTAGGTGACTGTGAATTCCTTCTGTCCCATGTGCCTCTGTACCAGATGAGGAATATTTCCCAGGAAGAAAGAGGACCAGTGAACTCTGAGGATGTGTAGTGCCCTGTACCTCAGTCTGGTGTTGGTCTTCTACTCAAATGCGGAGTTAAATCACTGGCTGGGACACAAGGATTAGGTCTGGCAGCTCTGAGGCTGTGTCAGTCAGGCTCCCAAGAGGCTGACACTGAATGAACAAGCCAAGACAAAATCACAGTTGAATGTGGGGAGGAAGAAAAATGTGCCCCAGGCAAGCACTCCTTCAATCTCTTCTGGAAAATCTGATGGACTGTGGGGAGGTGATACTTGAGAGGGCACATTTGTGGGAAGGAAGAACACCCAACATGCAATCACATGTCATCAGTCAAAAAATCATCTTCGACAGGAGTATAGTCCCCTTAAATATGGGAGGGGAATTCAAGCTTTTGGCACATAGAATCCTCTGGCCCTCACCTGATGTCAGTTTAAAGAGGTGATGCCCCTAATTGTAGAAGAAAACAATGTGGTATAATTCCTCAATGCAGCCATGTGATGTGTGTCACTATAATAGTACACTGAGTACTTGATGGACTCAGGGGAGAAGTCACAGTGCACATTATTGTATGTGACTGACAGTGATAGTATTTTCCAGGAAAGAATAATGGCTGTTTGTGTGTGTAGATCTGTTTCAGCTGAAGACCTTGTTTAATAGTCCTTTTCTCACTGATATTTTGGAAGTACAGACTCTGCACAGTATCAAAATGAGAACTCTTATCCCTGTAACACTTTTGGGGGTAAAACTGTACAAATCAAGCATTTTGTTTATTCCCCTGAATGTCAATTATACTGATGCCTGATGTTTGGTTGTGGCTTTTCTCTGATAATGAGACGTGGCTTCCTTTGGAAGATCTGCCTACATGTTGTTAATAAAAGGACTGATCGGTTATCCATTTGTTTTGCTACTAGAAAAATTAAACTTCACAAGTTAAAAGTCATTATTTTTATACACTTTGCTGAAAATGCAGTTGGGAAGGAGGGAAATAAAAAATGGAATTCTTAGTGGCAAAGCTAGGTGAGGAGGGAAAGCAAATGCAACTATCCATGTTATTTTTCTATAAACCAAAACCAGAGCCATCATTATACAGCAGCGTTTTCTTCGTGTAGCAATTATACAAGCTTTAGACAAGCAGAGATCTGCTTCTCTCTGTCAGACAGGATTCATGTTAAATAGCCAATTTCTCTCTTAATGAAGAGCATGTGAAATCTCTGAATCCTGCTTTTAACTACTTACTACCAGAAGCACTGCTCAAAACTTTGGTCTGTTCCTACTAAATTAAGGTGATGACTGGCTCTCTGCTTTTCATTAAAACACTGCTTTTTTAGCGCTGATTCACAGGAATAGGAATTACATTGGATCAGACCAGCAAGCCACCCAGTCACAGTGTTCTATCTCTTATCACAGCCAGTACCGAATATTTCAGTGGAAAGGCAAAAAATCATGCTGTGCCAATTAGGGACACACCTGCCCAAATGGAAAGTTTCTCCTTAAGCCTGTCTTTTAGTGGTAGTTTTATAGCCTGAGATACGAACGGCTCATAGCCCTTATTATATTTTTAAAATATCCTCCCTAATCCAACTGTGGATGTTCTCATTCTCCATATGAGAACCTCCAGTCCTGTTTTGAATCTTACTAAGACTTTGGCCTCAATGGTATCTAGCAGTAAGGAGTTCCATGCGGGTGCATTGTTTTGGTTTTCAAAAAATATATAGTACATTTTTTAGTGTTTCATTGACTGACCTCTTGTTCTAGCATGATGAAGAGAGGGAATTGGCAGCACCTGACTTATCTTCTCCATACCATTTATCATTCTGTACAACTCTTCATGTCCCATCTTATCTAATTTTATGCAGCAGTTATGAAGGGGCTATAATGGGGGAGCATTAAATGGGGGCAGCAATGGAGGGATATTCCTGGCACTACATCCCCAATTTCCCCCTTCCCTCACATCCCTGTCCTCTACCTACCCTCATTCCCCCCATATTCCTGCAGCCCAATGTCCTCATGAAGTGGAGATGGGGGTTATCTGTGCCCTCCAGTGAAACCACTTAGCACTGGGACCCAGTAACACCCCTTCCTCTGGATGATGTCTCACATTAAAGCTAGCAGTGCTGGTATGACAAGCAGGGCCGGCTCTGGCTTTTTGGCCGCCCCAAGCAAAAAAAATAAAATAAAAAACCTGCGGCGCAGCCGGAGCGCGGGGGCAGGGGGGAAGCGGGTGGGAGAGAGAGAGAAGGGGGCGGCCAGGGCTACAGCAGGGGCGCTGCCACACGGCCCCTCCCGCTGCGCCGCCTCCTGCCGCCTGCCACGAGGGCTCCGCTCCGGTCAGCGGGGAGGGAAGGAAGAGGACTGCCCTGCAGGGCACTCTTGTTCTCCGCAACACCGCCCCCTACAGGGCGGCCGGAGCGGAACAAGAACAAAACAAAAAAAAGCAGCCGTGCCGCCCTAGGATTGGGCGGAATGCCGCCTCCAACAATCTGCCGCCCCAAACACCAGCTTGCTCAGCTGGTGCCTGGAGCCGGCCCTGATGACAAGCCTCCTGTGGTTCATATGATGAGGTGCTTGGGGAAGCTGTCTGCATGACAGGTCTGGCTCTGTAGTGCCAGAAACAGCTTGAGTGACGTGCCTTCCCCCTCTTCAAGCCCTTGTTATGCCCCTGACTTTACTCATGATTGGCCCAGTCCACTCACCTTCCTGAGCACCCCCACTCCCACCCCATGCAGAGATCACTCTATTCCTAACAACCCTAGCCCCCCACATGCTGCTACACATCCCTACTGATGTCCTAACCCCATTCTTCCCCTGCTTCCCTGCTGCCAAATCTTCCTCCCTGGGCTCTATTGAGCCCCTCTAGTGAGTTCAGGAGGCTCTGGGAGAACAGAAGTAGCTGACAGAGCAGCAGTTGTTCAGCTGTGACACCTGCTGGCAACCACTGCATGCAGCAGCAGATCCCTGCCTGAGCAAGGAAGCTCCACCTCCCTCCTCCTTCCCAGCTTCTTTCGGTGTCACCAACCTGGGAGGAAGTTCTGGTTCTCTTTTTCCCCAGCCAATTCGTGTGCAGCCGGCTTTGGAGAAGTAAGGAGAGGCAGGGCCTCCAGGGTCCTTGTAACCTCCTTTCTTTCTTCCTTTTTTCACACACAGTGAAAGTAAGAGAGCAGTTGCATGCTGGAGGGGAGACAATACTGTGAGTGAGGAAGCAGACGGAACCAGTGAAGTGGTAGAGTGAGATGGATTTCACTCATTCATTTCACCCACACAGTAAAAAAAAAAAATAATAATAATAATAAAAGGAATATTATGGTGGCAGCAAAATAGCCTCCTTTTGTGTATAAAATGAGTCAGTTCAATTGGGAGGAAGCGAGTTCCCAATGAATCATCTGGCTGACCATCCCCACACTCCTAAAACTGACATGGTGCATAGTGATGTGACTTCACTGAACAGGAGTTTGAGAAGTTTGGGGTGGGCCAAAAATGTTAGTAAGCTCCCCCCAAACTGCTGTGTGAATCAGCATTTCAAATAACAGGAGGTCAGACTAGATGATCCCTTCTGGCCTTAGACGCTATGAATAACCATGCAGTGAGTTCTCAGGAGCCAGGTTCAGCATGCTATGGCTTATAACCCTTGATTCAAAATATGTGCCCGGTTTTTCACTTCATTCATTCTGTGTCAGAAAGCTTTACTATTTTTCATCATGACTGAAATTACTGCTTCCCAAGCAGAAGATGAGGGCTGCAGATCAGTGACTCTTAAGCGTAGTCACTGGATTTTTAGTATCTGTTCTCCAGCTTTTTATCAACTGCAGACAGTCCTGCACTATATCAAGACATTTGCACAGTAAATCCATCTTCACAGGTATAGCAGTCTCCTGAAAACCAGGAACCAAAATTGCTGGTGCCTCATTCTTCAAGAAGTTCGGTGCCTCTTGCAAGAAGTAGGCATTGAAGGTGCTCAGTACCTTGCAGGATTAGGTCTTTGAAGAGGATGCAGCACCTTGGCTGGACTAGTTTATTATTACACCATAAGTACCAGTGTAGCACATCCTGAAGTATCCCAAAACACTCTGCAGGTAGGTAACCCAGCACAGAGACACAGCCACCTCTAGGGTGAAATGCAGCAGCTACTTAAGCTCAGTATAATGGTTAATCCCCACCCCCATCCAAAAAACAATGTTGGGAAGAGCTGGTTGGGAACTCAAATTTCTGTTCTGTGGGAGATTCCAACAGCTGAGGTGGGAGGGTGGGGGCAATTGTTCCAAGTCAGAATGAAAAGCTAAAATTTTGAAATATCCCAAGAAACAAACCTTCTGAACATTTTTTTATTTGGAACCATTGAAATGCTTCATTTCAGTTTGTTTAAACCTTTATATTAAATATTAATTATATAGATATTAAATATAATATATACAAATAATAAAATTTAATATTTTGATATCAAATGAATCTAAACAACATCCAAACAAAACAGTCGTTTTCAACCAAAAACTGTTCCACTGAAAATGTTTCTGACCAACTTTAGAGTCAGGAGTCCTCTGTTGTATCCCTGACTTTGCCACAGACTATGTGTGTGTAAAAGGGTTGCCTACCTCTCATATACATCCCCTCTTGTGGCCAGTGGTGGTTCTGCAGCACACTGCCTCAGTTTCCTCTCTTGGTTTATTAAAAAAAGAGCACACAAAAAGCTTTCACAACTCCAATAACAGCCCTTCTTGGGGTCTGATTTTATTAAAACAAAGAGAGTCTTCCATATACAGACAAACTGGGCACAGCCACTTCTTCCTTAGGTACTGTCTCCTCCTGCTCTCTGAGCAGCTGGAGAAGATGCAAGGCCTCCTCTGCCTTCTTCCCAAAAGGAAAACAAAAAACTTTCAGCTGCATCTTCCCCATCACAATTCCCTTTCTCGGGGACCTCTGCAGGAGACTCTCCCTGCAGCTTCATTCAGCAGTTCCACCCCTTTTGACTATCTACTGGCATCTGCTTTTGTATCCCCTGAGGGGCCTGGTTTAGTCACATGACTTCCTATCACATGACTTGCTTCTTTCTCTCCAGTCCACCTGGGGAGGTAAATCAGCTGCATCACAGGTGGGCTGACTTATCTCCCTTTGGAAGGGCCAGACATCCTGTAACAGTTCCTTATCATGGACAAGTCACTTACAATGGGCATGTCTTTACTACCTTGCAGGGGAGCTATGAAGCTAAACTGATGGATATTTGTAAATCATAAGATCCTCCAGTGGATGGAGGATAGAAGAGCTATTACTATATAACAGCACACACAAACATTACACAACTCTTTAAGATGAGTAGTGAAGAAGAATACTGTCACAATGAAATCTCAGGCAGAATGTAGTTACTCCAGCTGAAGGCTAGGCAGGACTCTTACTCTGGAAGCATCATGGGTTTTCCTTGGAGGTCTCTCATCCAAGTATTGACCAGGCCTGACCTAGCTTAAAGTGTTAAAGCTATTAAGATCACATGTCTATAGGCCATATAGATGCTTCAGTACAGTGAAAGAAACTTAGCTCTGCCCATAAAAAGTTGAGGATGTAATGTTCTGAGTTATAACTTGATTTAATATTTTATGTCACCATGTTATAACTAGGCCACTGGCTTCAGAAGCATGGAGCATCAGTAAGCAAGGCATCAGTGACACCATGAAAAAATATCTTTGTCCTTATTTAGTGGAAACACACAAGCCAACTAATAATGCTTTCAGCTAATCTAGACTAGAAATATCTTTGCAAAGCTATTTTACATTGCAGTTATTCCTACTTATACACATGGTATCTTGCCAAAAAGATTAACTGTTGAATTTGTTTTAACATGAAAACACAGAATTAGATACGAGGTCAGATTCTGTTCTGTCACCGTGGTGCAAATTCACATTAACTCCATTGCCGTTAGTGGAGACTCACCTGTGGTAAATGAGAGCAGAACTTGTCTCTGTTTCTTTCAGTATTCAGTACACTGAATCAACCCTGTCCATGCAGACAGATTACCTTTTTATCTCAATGGTATTTAGAGATCAGTACAAAATCTCTAAGGCTTACATTCTACCCTATGCCTGAATTACCTGCACAGGGGGAAAATGAGATTCTGAGGCCAGAAGGCACTGCTGTGATCATCTAGTCTGACCTCCTGTAGAACACAGGCCATAGAACTTTCCCTAAATAATTCCTAGAGCAGATCTTCCAGATAAAACATCCAATCTTGATTTTAAAATTGTTCCAGTGGTTAATTACTCTGACTGTTAAAAATGTACATCCATTTCCAGTCTGAATTTTTCTAGATTCAAATTCCAGCCATTGGATTGTGTTATACCTTTCTCTACTAGAATGAAGAGGCTGTTATTAAATATTTGTTCCCCATCTAGATACTTATAGACTGTAATAAAGTCAGCCCTTAACCTTCTCTTTGTTAAACCTAACAGATTGAGATATTTGAGTCTATCACTAGAAGGCATATTTTCTAATCCTTTAATCATTCTCATGACTCATCCCTGAACTCTCCAATTTATCCATCTACTCTGTTTCCTCCAAATCATGGGAGGGACATGATTTGCCAAATAAATTGGCAAAAGGTTCAGTCTTCTAAGCCTGCTGATGTCCTATGATCTGCATGAATCTTGAGAAACTGAAGAACTCCAGAGCCTTCGGCATGGATCCTCACCACTCTGCACTGCTTCCCAGCTGCCTTACTTGCCTGGCTCATTCAGGAGCTGTGCTACCATGAAGGCCCTACCAGCTGTTGCCTCTGACACATCCCTTCATGATGAGGGAGACACCACATTGTGGAGGGGAGTAGAGTCGGCCTGTAATGCGGGACAATGCTGTAGAGAATAATATCCCTGCAGTCCAGACCTCTCCACCCTTGGTTCACCCCCCTCTCAACCATAAATCCTTAACTCCATAGATGGGGATTTGCAAAGGTGTTCCCACGGCCTGAGGGAAAACGGTGAGCATGATATGAAGGTGGGCATTTCCTCCTCCCACTTTCACCCTGCTCCCTCTGATCCACCCAATTTTGTCCCTTCCACTCTTGAAAATGGAGAGGCTCATTGGACCCTAAAGCAGAAACCTGGATAAAGTGACATTTTCTTTGTTTTCCTATCTAACCAACAAAACACCAGCATCAGTCTGGATTCAGATTTGTTTAAAGACCTTCAAAGCTTGGATTGAGATCCCTTCCCCAAAGCTCCAGGAGTTTCAGACCCAGGGTTCCAATTCAGGTGTGTCTCCAATATCATCTAGTGTAATATTCCTTCTAATATTAATTCTAATAATATAATAATACTAATTTCTTAATTCATACTAATGCACCAAAATTCACATTACTGGGATTTGAGAGAAAAATTAAAGGACAACTGCCTATATAATAATAGGATTAAATGCTAAACCATATTGACTCCTATTCCATCAACAGGACTGAATTCAACACTAAATATGATTTTATTGATAGATTTTTAAATCTAAACAAAACCCTAATAATCTTCATCTTTCCTCCAGTAGAACTCAGGCCCTAGAATTTCACCCACTAATTCCTCAATCAAAGTTGAACTAAAGCATACCATGTAGAAAGACATCCATTCTTGATCTGTAGACTTTAAGCAATGTTATTTTTTATTTGTATTGAGGTATTGTCCACAAAACCCAATCAGGATTAATTTTTTGTTATGTATTTGTATTGCAAGTGTCCCAAATGAAAGAGGAACCCCACAGTGCTTGGTGCTGTACAGCCCAGGACCCAAAGAGCTAACAATCTAAATAGATAAAGAGTGGGAGAAAGGGATTATTATCCCTATTTTACAGATGAGAAACTGAGGCACAGATTAATAGCCTCATTTCAAAAGGGCTCTGCTCCCATTTAGGCACCTGTCACAGGTTGGCTGGCCCTTAAAGGGTCAGCCTGTGATAGATCAACTACTGCCCACCCCTACACACTCCCAAAGCTAATCCTGACTGGCAGGAGATCAGGTGGCTGAACTTAATTATTAGATGCAGCTGGGGGAAAGAAGGGGCTTGTCTCATAAAGAGCTGGGTGAGCTCAGTGGGAGAGAG